TCAATTTTTTTTAAATTTATTTATTTAACAAATACATTTTATCAAAGATCACATTACCTGTACTTAAGACAGGAACAATAAACAACAACAAAAAGTACAGTATTTAATGAATGGCTATAAGAAAGAATTCCTAGAAGTTGAAAGGCTCAATTAAATGCTGCCCTCAGTGCCTGGCTGGCTCAGTAGTAATCTCAGGGTCCTGGAACCAAGCCCTGTCAGTGTCCCTGCTTCTCAGGGAGCCTGCTTCTCCCTCTGTCTCTCATGAACAAGTAAATAAAATCTTTGGGACGCATGGGTGGCTCAGCAGTTAAGCTAAGCGTCTGCCATCAGCCCAGGGCATGATCCTGGAGTCTCTGGGATCGAATCCCACATCGGGCTCCCTGCATGGAATCTACTTCTCTCTCTGCCTGTGTCTCTGCCTCTCTCTCTCATGAATAAATACATAAAATCTTTAAAAATAAAAAATAAGGGATCCCTGGGTGGCGCAGCGGTTTAGCGCCTGCCTTTGGCCCAGGGCACGATCCTGGAGACCCGGGATCAAATCCCAGGTCGGGCTCCTGGTGCATGGAGCCTGCTTCTCCCTCTGCCTGTGTCTCTGCCTCTCTCTCTCTCTCTCTCTCTGTGTGACTATCATAAATAAAAAAATAAAATAAAATAAAAATAAAAATAAAAAATAAAATAAAATAAATAAAATCTTAAAAAAAAAACATGATGCCCTCAAGTGAAGGGCAAGCCTTCAATTTGGCCCAAAACCCAACACCTGTAACCACCATTAGGTGCCAAAAAGTATCATAGACTTTTTCATAACTGAGCACATGATAGAGTTTCTCTACAATTACCTCAAGCAAATGATGTGGGGAACAAAGAAAGGCAAAAGTATCGAAAAAATTAAACTTCCTTACAACTTATGTCCCACTGACAAGTACTCTGGACAGAGTGACCTTTTTCCAGGACTCAACAGCCTTTATGTTAATATTAATACTTTGCTAGAGGCAAAAGGCAACCTCAGCTTAACATGAACCCCACCCCCAGGATCCCGTAAGTCTTCTTTGGAAACCTCCTTTATCACTACCCCCACACCAAGATACAGGTTAGCAATCATCCTCCGAACTTAGCGCCCACTGATATCCATCTGAAGGGTCTTCTGACTAAGGTTACACTAGACAGTAATAAATGACCCTTCAAGGTCCAGAAAACCTCGCTTCTAAATTCCTTAGGCACTTGCGCTATCCCTGACCCTCTCTCAACTTGAAAGTATATGATCAGTCCCTCCTCACAACCCCACTACAGCTTTTTCTGCCCACAGGTCCTGTCCCTGTTCTTTAATAAAACCATCTTTTTTGCAGTGAAGACAATCTCAATAATTCTTTATTGACCGTTCGCTCCCAGACCCCGAAATCTCACATCAGCAGGGATAGTAGGCAGATCTGATTTCAGACATTTACAACAAAACATGTACCTTTGTGGATTGGGGGGAGAGGGGGTGTCTCCTAAACCAAAATAGTTATACACATTTATTTTTTAGTAATTAGCAATGGCCACCAATGTGAGGGGTGAATCAGCTATTTCTTTAAGCTCACTATGAGGTTATGGCAAAAACAAATTTCAGACCCAACTCTGCCACACATACACACATTTATAAACAGACATAGAAAGGATCTTAAAATCTGCTGGATAAGCTCAGTGAAGTCTCAACTTCCTTCACTCTGTAATGCTCCAATAGCCTGCATGAAAGGTTCACCTGAGGCAATACACTGATATTCTGATTTAGTTAACCATACTGTCGGACTCAAGCTTGGTGAACCCCCAGACAAGCAGCTGCACACAGGACTTCATTTAGGGATCAAGCTTAGGTTCTATCCTTAAAGGTAAAGAATGGAAGGCCAACCAGACTGTTACATTCTAATTCAGTGGCTAAGAATTGATATGAAGTAATAGCCAGAACACCTATCTTGCATACCACTAACTTCATCAATGACAACCCATTTCTAACACCTATTATGCTAATGAGAAAGGCTCCCAGAGTTAACAGGGAGAAAGACAGCTGAACTCTTTGTAGTGTTCTACACTGCCCCCACTCTGGAACGTGACCTCTAGTACAAATACTAGCTAACCATGCCCTAGAATGTCTCTAGTTAGCACAGCTCACTACCTCTAGATTGAACTCAACACATGTGTATAGAAACACACAGGGATCCCTGGGTGGCGCAGCGGTTTAGCGTCTGCCTTTGGCCCGGTGCGCGATCCTGGAGACCCGGGATCGAATCCCACGTCGGGTTCCTGGTGCATGGAGCCTGCTTCTCCCTCTGCCTATGTCTCTGCCTCTCTCTCTCTCTCACTCTGTGTGACTATCATAAATAAATAAAAATTGAAAAAAAAAAAAAAAAGAAACATACAGACTTACATGTACCTCAAGGTATACTGTCTATGCTGAAGTTTCATATTAAACTATGGATTTGGGCAGCCTGGGTGGCTGAGCAGTTTAGCACCACCTTCAGCCCAGGGTGTGATCCTGGAGACCCTGGATCGAGTCCCACGTCCAGCTCCCTGCATGGAGCCTGCTTCTCCCTCTGCCGTGTCTCTGCCTCTCTCTCTCTCTTTCTCTTTCTCTGTGTGTCTCATGAATAAATAAAATCTTTAAAAATAATGATAATAAAATAAAATAAACCAGGATTTCAGGGCACCTGGGTAACTCAATTGGTTAAGCATCTGACTCTTGGTTTCAGCTCAGATGGTGATTTTATGATTCTTGGCATAAGCTCCACGTAGAGCTCCATGCCCAGCAGAGACTTTGCTTAGGATTCTTACCCTCTACCCTTCCCCCCACACTCTAATAAATAAATCTTTTTTAAAATCATGGATTTCATAACAGAAGTGTATTATAGCTAATTCATCTGGACTACTACTGTCCAATAAAATAACCACTAGCCACATAAGGTTACTGAGCTCTTTAAATGTGGCTAATCGGGATCCCTGGGTGGCGCAGCAGTTTAGCGCCTGCCTTTGGCCCAGGGCGCGATCCTGGAGACCCGGGATCGAATCCCACGTCGGGCTCCCGGTGCATGGAGCCTGTCTCTGCCTCTCTCTCTCTCTCTATCATAAATAAATAAAAATATTTAAAAAATAAATAAATAAATAAATGTGGCTAATCAAATCAGGATGCCAGAATTGTAAATTATACATCGGATTTAGAAAGTTTGGTACAAAAAAAACAAAAAGAAGAAGAAAAGTATCTCATTGATACTTCTTATTTTAAGATTTTATTTATTTATTTGAGAGAAAGAGAGCATGAGTTGGGAGGGGGAGGGAGGCCCAAAGGTAGAGGAAAAAGCAGGCTCCCCACCAAGCAGGGAGCCCGAAGCAGGGCTCAACCCCAGAACCCTAAGATTGGGCAGCCCTGGTGGTGGCCCAGCAGTTTAGTGCCGCCTTCAGCCCGGAGTGTGATCCTGGAGACCCGGGATCGAGTCCCACATCGGGCTCCCTGCATGGAGCCTGCTTCTCCCTCCGCCTGTGTCTCTGCCTCTCCCTCTCTCTGTCTCTCTCATGAATAAATAAAATATTAAAAAAAAAAAAAAGAACCCTAAGCTCATGAGCTAAGTCGAAGGCAGATGCTTAAACAACTAAACCATCCAGGTGCCCTGATACTTTTTATATTGACTATATATTGAAATAACACTTTAAATAATAGTTAAAATACACTACTAAAATTAATTTCTTCTGTTTTTAAGGTTTTATTTATTTACTCATGAGAGAGAGAGAGGCAGAGACACAGGCAGAGGGAGAAGCAGGCTCCATGCAGGGAGCCTGATGTGGGACTCAATCCTGGGACTCCAGGATCACAAACTGGGCTGAAGGCAGGCGCTAAACCGCTGAGCCACCCAGGGATCCCCCTCTTCTGTTTTTTTTTTTAAATGTGGCTATTAGAAAATTTAAAATGATCTATTTTCTGCAATTGTGTCCACATTTTATTAATATTCAACTACAATGGTATAGATCCTTTCTCCAAACCTCCAGATTCCTCTGAGGAGTTTTATTTGTTGTTGTTGTTGTTGTTGTTGTTTTGAGGAGTTTTATATACTTCAAGAGATGATTAGATCATCAGCTACTTCATTCTCAAATAACCATTCACCAGTTTAACTTCATGACATTCAAATTGAACCATCTCTTAACCAAAACTCCCTCCTGCCCTATTAGAGGCCTTCATTGTCACAAATTACATATTATCTCCACAATCGCCACTTCTAGGTCTGCTCTTTCTCCTATTACAAGCCCCAACCATTATGCTATTATATCAGGATTTTCACTGGAATTCTCTTATCCCAAAATTTACAATATATAAAATTGCTTTCGGGACACCTGCGTGGCTCAGCAGTTAAGCATCTGCCTTTGGCTCAGGGCATGATCCTGGAGTCCCCAGATCAAGTCCCACATCAGGCTCCCTGCATGGAGCCTGCTTCTCCCTCTGCCTGTGTCTCTCTCTCTCTCTTTGTTTCTCTCATGAATAAATAAATAAAATCTTTTTATAAATAAATAAATAAGATAGATAAATAATTAATTAATTAATTAATTAATTGAATTTTCAAAATTAATCCTATAGGGGTGCCTGCATGGCTCAGTCGGTTAAGTGTGCTCATGCTCTCTCTTTCTCTCTCTCTCTCTCTCTCTCACTATCTCTCTCTCAAATTAGTAATAAAATCTTTGAGAAGAAAAAAAAAATCCCACAAATATTAAGTGAAAAAAAATCAATAGTCAAAATCTCTCAAATGCCCAATATTATGTTATTCTGCTAAAAACAAGGGAAACATACTAAAATGAATTCAACTTTTTGGTACAGATACCAGAATTTATGACTCAGGTTGTGGCCCACAATGAAAAAACCTATGATGTTAGATCAGTAATTATATAGCATTAATAAAATTTAATCTGTCCAGTGAACACAGCATGGGGACAAGAAAGTGAAACCATTATAACTTTGCTATTCAAAGTATTTAAATACTTACTTTTTCATTAGAATCATATCCTGCTGAACAGAAACTACGGGTCACCATTAAGTGCTGTCTTGAGTAGTGTGGAACATACTACAAAAAAGAAAGAAAGAAAAGAAAGAAAGTTACAGATACTTGAATGGGCTTTAAAAATATTTTTCTCTGGGCAGCCCGGGTGGCTCAGCGGTTTAACTCCTCCTTCAGCCCCAGACGTGATCCTAGAGACCTGGGATCGAGTCCCACATAGGGCACCCTGCATGGAGCCTCCTTCTCTCTCTGCCTGTGTCTCTTATGAATAAATAAATAAAATCTTCAAAATATATTTTTTCAGGGTAATTTTTCCAGTATGCTTCTACCTAAAATATTTTACCAATCAACAGATGTAGTTCTGGGCAGCCCCGGTGGCACAGCGGTTTACTGCCGCCTGTAGCCCGGGGTGTGATCCTGGAGACCCCGGATCGAGTCCCACATCGGGCTCCCTGCATGGGGCCTGCTTCTCCCTCTGCCTGTGTCTCTGCCTCGCTCGCTTGCTCTGTGTCTCTCATGAATAAATAAAAATAAAATCTTTAAAAAAATAAAAAGCGGGATCCCTGGGTGGCGCAGCGGTTTAGCGCCTGCCTTGGGCCCGGGGCGCGATCCTGGAGACCGGGGATCGAGTCCCACGTCCGGGTCCCTGCATGGAGCCTGCTTCTCCCTCTGCCTATGTCTCTGCCTCTCTCTCTCTCTCTCTCTCTCTCTCTCTCTCTCTCTCTCTGTGACTATCATAAATAAATAAAAAATTTAAAAAGAGGGAAAAATAAATAAATAAATAAATAGCTAGCTTAAAAAAAAAAAACAGATGTAGTTCTAAGCCACATGCCATAACTGTGGAAGATAAATCATAACCACAGACATTTCCTTTGGCGCACAAAAGAAACCAAAAGGCATCGGAAGGATCTCTAGGAAAGTAAAGTAAGAGTCAATGGGTCAATCTTAATTATAGTGAAATGATGGTTACCAAAGGGGAGGAGAATTAAGCAGTGATGAGCACCAGGTGATGCATGTGATTGTTGAATCGCGCCATACTGTACACCTGAAACTAAAAACACTGTATGTTAACTGGAATTAATTAAAACTTTAAAAAACAAAGCCAATGAGTCAAAATTTGAAGAAAGGTCTAATTATGCAGACTGACATGGCAAAATCATAAGGATATATCCCATACAGAACTTTATACAACATAAAACAAGAGTCTTGGTCTTCAAAGAGTTTCCATTTTAAGAGACCAGAAAATAAGGCAATCAGGCAATCAGTAATACCTCTTTTTTTTTTTCAGTAATACCTCTTAGAACTTTCTAAGAAGACAACACAAATAAGCAAATGTTTTTATAGCACCATTTTTAAATAAACTCAAAGATTCATATAATTTTTGTAAAGCATCAAGCCCCAAATTACAAAATGTAATCTTAATACAAAAGCAAAGGTAATAGATAAGAAAGATACACTTTATACAACGAAGCCTACACTATCATGTAAAAGACTAGTGAAGATAATGGTCTAAGACTGAGAAACACACTCTGTATTCCATCCTTTTAAAGACCAAAACTCACTCTTTCACAACTTCAGACATCCCAGTAAATTCAAGAGTTTTTAGCCCAATTTTAAAAATCAAAAAACAGAGTCTCAAGAATTTTAGTTGGTCAAACGTCCTTGGGCTAGGATGCAATGGTTGCAAAATTTAAGCACAGATCATTCAAAGCACTCTGGAGTTTATTTCGAGAATAAAAAGATAATGGCACCTCACATTAACACCAATGTGTCTGCAAAGATATAACTCAGGGAGAAAGAAAAAAAAAAAAACTTTACCAGGAGTGTTTAACCACTCTATGTGCCCAAACAAAAATTTAGTCTTCTACTGCCTTCAGCAGAAGAATTATAATTTAGCAACTTTACTCCTACATCAGATTTAATAGGATAAAGGTAATACTTCTTCCCTGGGAAAATCAGATCTTGTGTTTACAGCCTCAGCCGAAGCAGAACACAAACTAAGAAAACAAATTCTGAGAATAAAGAAAACCAAAAGCTCCCTGGGAATTTCTTATATTTATTTTGCTGCAAGGCAGTACTGGGATATTTACACAAAGTAAATAGCACACCAGCTTCCTATCCATTTTATAAAATGTAACAACAAAATAGTTTACATTTTTACAAATTCTCCCTAATACTGTAAGGTACATAATGGTCTATTGCATGAACAAATCAACATAATCTTTTTACAAAAGACAAAAATCAAACATATGTCTTTCATCACTAACAAATAAAGGCTATAACTGATTCCTGCTGGCAAAAACCAAATTTGCATCTTCCAGAGACAAAACACAATCTGGGGTAGACATTTTAGGTATTCTAATTAGCTTCGGTGAGTGAGAACAACAGTGATGTGTATGTCTGGGGAAGGGAACACTTCAAAAAGCAACTTACCACCCAGCAAAGAACTATGATAGGAGATCTAAATTCCACCCCTAACTCTAGGACTTGAGCAAACCACTATGACCCTGCTCTCTGCTAAGAAATGAAAGCTTGGATGACTTCCCTATAAGGTCTCTTACCAACCTAAGCCACTATTATCCAAAAAATAAGAGCTTAGTACAATATATCTAACATGCACAAAACTCTGATGATCATGGGAGGATATACAGTAAATCCAAAGTCAACAAGCAGGCCAAGAAGGTAGTGACCCAGATCTTACTGCTGAACTACTCTGAGAGTAACAAACATGCAGATACTTGGTGGAAATAAGAGTCAATTTCATAGATTTTAATAAATATGAATTATGCATTAAGCTGCTAGGCTACCTCTGGGAATAAAAGCCTCAGGACTCTATTTCATTAGATGAGCCCATGAGAGGGGATCCCTGGGTGGCGCAGCGGTTTGGCGCCTGCCTTTGGCCCAGGGCGCGATCCTGGAGACCCAGGATCGAATCCCACATCAGGCTCCCGGTGCATGGAGCCTGCTTCTCCCTCTGCCTGTGTCTCTGCCTCTCTCTCTCTCTCTCACTGTGTGCCTATCATGAATAAAAATAAAAAAAATAAATAAATAAAAATAAAAAAAACAAATAAATAAATAAATAAAAAGATGAGCCCATGAGGAATAAGCTAAACTTACCCCAAAAGGAAAGAGTTTCTATCCCAGAACCATTCAGAAATCTTGTGGCCAAGCTCTGAGCAATATTTGGGTCTGCTGACTCAAATGAACTATACTTACCTTCAGGAAACTATCAGTAACCTAAAACTAGAATAAAGTAAGTCTATGTTACAGTTCCTAAAACTAAATCCACTCTATTACAAGTTACACCTGGCCAAAATGTAAAAGCTATAGCACTGTGATCGAGCTGGTTTTGGGGAATCTTTTTATTACCATTTAAAATACTTAATTCTAAGATCTAAGACTATATTTTACCACCAGTATATAAACACACACACACACACACACACACACACACACACACACAGCTTGTACACATGTGAATTTGTGATAATGTGGCGCAAAATTTTGAAAAGCATGGATCCCCCTGGTTAGCCAAATAACTAGAAGTAGAAATGACTCAAGCAGAACTACAACAGCAGAACTATAAAGAAGAAACAAGTGTTTGGACCATTTCCACAGCAAGGCTGAACTGGTTTGTAGTTGGCCCCATAAAGGCTTTCTCTGTTCCTGTTTACTCCTGGCAGACCTTCATGAAAGGTCAAAGTTATAAAGAATATAGGTCAAAAATCAGAAGATTTTTGTAGAGATACAAGATAAAATTTCTTTTCTATTTTAATTCATTTTTGTAATCTCTATACCCAACATGGGGTTGGAACTCTCAATCCGAAGATCAAAAGTTGCATGCTCCAATCAAGGACTAAGCCAGCCAGGTGCCCCTAAATTTTTTTTTAAATACAGACAACAGTTAGTAGAAACCTGCTTATTTGCACCTCTACACAGAATTTTATCATTTTTGTTAAGCATATTTTGTTAAACTGGCTACAAGCCCACCACAAAAGAAAAGAAAAAAGAAAGAAAAGAAAAGAAAAGAAAAGAAAAGAAAAGAAAAGAAAAGAAAAGAAAGAAAGAAAGAAAGAAAGAAAGAAAGAAAGAAAGAAAGAAAGAAAGAAAATTTAAGTAGGCTCCACACTAGGGGCTTGAACTCAAAACCATGAGATCAAGACCTTGAGCTGAGGTCAAGAGGCACTCCCAGTCCAAAATCTTTTAAGGTACTTCCTAAAACCAGGAGTTCTAGGGGAAAAACCTAAATCAACTCCAATTATAAAGACCATTTAGCCTATCACAGCCAAAAGGAGAAAGGTCAACATGTACAAAATGACTTCTCAGAAACCTCTTACCATTGGTTCTTTTCTACAAGATAAAGATTTCCTATATTTTTCACACTTAGAAAAGAAATGGCTTATAGTGTGGCACATGACAAGTAATAGAACCTTCAGAGTCACAAGACTTGGGTCAGCTCTTAGCTCCACTGCCTCACAGTTATGTACCACTGGGCAAATCATTTCTCTGGACTTGTTTCCTTTTAATAAAATACGAAAACACCTCCTGGCTTCCCTATAGTTGTCAAAAGGATCATACAAAAAAAATCACAAAGATTTTTTTTGAAATGATCAAATCTCAAGATTCTCTGGCTCTGCCTCCACAAAGAGCACCAGAAAACTATATACATCAACTCTAAAATTTTATCATCCCACCCAGCTCCCCTACCAAGCCATTCTTGCCACCCCAGCCATAGCAGATGTTGTTAGAGATCATACAGATCCTCTTCAGCAGGCAGCGCAGCATCCCCAGCTGCTGTGTTGACTACTCACAGTTCACACCTGCTCCCTAGTCTGACCAATTTGCCTTTACCAGACAGTTCTCCATCAAGCCAGGAAGCTACCACTTCTCAGCCCACAGCCAATGATTGAGTAGGCAGAGGGTTCAAAAGGCCATCCCCACTCACCTCCACATGGGGCAGTGTTGCAATCTGGTTTTTAAGAACTGGCTGTCCAATATGGCAGCCACTAGCCACATATAGCTAACTGAGCACTTGAAATGAAGTACACCAGTCCAAATTCCAATGT